TCAGCTTGAATGCACTGCCCTCGGTTGTTGCAATCAGGATCACCAGGGCAGTCTGTCTGCGCACAGCTAATACCTGTGTCAATGCAAATTCTTGATTAATTTTCATCTTTTCAGAAGCCTACACTTCACTTGGAAAGGCAATGAGCCATACCATAAAACCAACAACAATAAAATGCAAAAAAAAAATTAGATTCATGCAGGTGTCTAGCGCCTAGCATGTGAGTGCTCCACTGGGTTAATGGGGTGTCTTTTGTTGTTTGGCGAGTACTTTGTCCAAGTACTTAAAAGACAGGTATAATTCTTTTACATTAAAATTTTCAATGACTATGTATTTACTTTATACAATTGTAGTATGCGCCAGCTTTTAGGAGACCAAAAGAAAATTATGCGCCTTCCTCTTGAAAACAAAACCTTAGACATTTTCATAATCTCCAAGCAAATGACACGTGCACAGCTTAGCTGAGGTAAATTAAAATCAACTCCATTTTAAAAGGTTCCTGCACCTGCCTTACCTAAGATACGTAAACTACGTTTAGTATCAAAAATACCGCATTCATAGCAAATAAGATAAAGTGCACATGAGATCCGAGTACAGTTTTTCGCCCTTAAAATACCTTACATGTAAATAAGGTATTAATTGTACTATTTGCTTTACCAATCGGGAAGACGTATCACCCAGTTAATTGGGACAAACTAAAAAATGGTAAAACTTACCAGTCCAGCCTGAATCGCAGATACACGTTTGCGACGCGGGCAAACATTGACCATGTCCGGAGCAGTCTTTCTCACATCCAGGGCATCCTTTTTTCTCACAATATTTACCCCTCCATCCGTTGCATCCGCAGTCACATTTCCCATCAGCGCAAAGTGAGCTGTGATTTGAGCATAACGTGTCACAGGCAGCTCCATTGTAGCACGGGTCGCACACGCAAATATGATCACTAGTCGGTGTTCCATGTTTACAAGGCAACTCACAGGCCACACCCATCCATCCTTTAAGACAATTACATTTGGGCGATTCATTGTCTCTTGTAGGTGCGATACAGGTGCCACGACCGTCACAGTCGGGGGTCCCAGGACAGTCTGGAATGTCGCACGCGGGCCCTCTCCAGGAAGGATCGCACGTGCACTGCAAATTGGCTTTGTTGCAAGTACCATGGTCACTGCAGTCTCTGGGCCATCCAGGGCAGCTTGGGACTTCGCACACGTCGCCCTTGTACCCTTGGAGTTTGTCACAAACGCATGCGTTGTTGACACATTTTCCGTGTAATGAGCATTCACGATTACAACCAGATCCAGAAAAGCACGGGTGACAAATGCAACCCGAGGCGTTGCCGTAGTTTGTTCCATTTAGGCAAGGAAGTTCGCACCTCTCCCCCGCCCATTGTGGTTGGCAGTTACACCTGTAAAAATTGAGGTTAATATTGTTAACAAGCTTAAGCAAGTACTAAGCTAAGGAATAATCAGCAATAACGGATCTTGAACAAAAATTGGAAAGCAATGAATCGTTAAAAAAACACTCTCAAGAATCATCTCGCTTATCTTGCGATGGTCACATTTCGACCGCGTACTGTTAGTCTTTATCAAGCGATGGTGTCCATCATAACTCATGGTTGGTCAACGTCGATTTTTATCGTTCATTGTTCACGCTAGAATTCTTCTCCTTAAGGGCTCTTTGTGGTGTTGATGATGCAATTTTCCCTTTCGTAAACGGTCACTATCATTTTTAAGACACTTAGAAAATTTTTGACTTATCGAGTGTTTCTATTAAACAAAAGAAGAACGCAAGCCAGAGTCGAACCCGGACCTTTCGCATCCTTGGGTACTTACCATTTGACAGAAAATTTCGGATGGAAGTTAAATAGGAAGGTCACTTTTCGAAAATTCCAAGCGAAAATTTAGGAGTATCTTTTGAGGTAGTCAGTTCATTCCGGTTGGTACGAACCAGAAGCATATAACCCCGAAGCGTATAACTTTGTCGCAACGCTCGGGTTTTTTAGGGAACCAATCCAAATTTACTACCTAATATGGAATTACTGATAAACGAGATTGTCGTGCGAGTGCTCTAAAGGAAAACTTGTATCGCGATGTAAATGGTGCGGTGCAAAAGCATTTACTGTTTTACGAGGTAATATTTGACAAAAAACGGAATACACTATTAATCCCCAAATCGACCAAGACTGAGTTAGTTCCTCCTAACAAGACAAAGTCGACTACCAATGACATGCACCGTATTAAAAGAGAAACGATTTCTTAAAGTTGTTACTTCAACTGACGATTTTTACCTGACCATTAGTGCAAATAACCTTTAAAAAAATCAGTTACTATCTATCTAGAATATTTAAACTAGTAACACATATTTTCAAAAAAAAAATTCACTAGTTGCTGAACTGAAAAGTATAAATTGTATAAAATTCCCTGACATCTTCGCAGAAGTGATGCGCGCAATAAGACACTGAATAAGAAGGATGAAACGCAAGTTAATATTAAAGACTTAGATGCGGCGATCATGTTTTCAACTAATGTTATGAATGAACAAACAGAAAACAATAAACAGACAAATTGTTTCTTGAAAATTTTTATTCGAAAATCCATAACTTTACCGTTAAAAGCAATTCACGTACACACTGACTGGATCGTCAGGATCCGTTTCCACAAGTTAAATCGGCTGAGCACATGGCAAAAATTAACACTAAGATTATCTGTCTCAGATCGGACGCATTTCCCAATTTTTCTTGAAAACTCTATCAAAAATATATAAAACGTCTATGAAACATTTATAAACACAAATTTCCTTTCATCATCGTACTTTCCTTGAGCATAATGTGTAAATTGTAAGTTTAACTAAAAATTCTGTTAAACGGTTGCTGACTTAGTAGCAGTTCAGAAAAGGACAAGTGCTCCAGCTCCTTGAAAGAAACAAGGTCGAAGTCATCGAAGGTAAATTTCGCAGCTTAAGACTTTTCTTTGTCCCCAAAAAGAAAAAAAAAACTTTTACATGTCACACGTCTAATCAAAACTACCATACATGTGTTCGCTTACTGTTCTGAATGAATTAAAAAATCTACACTCACAAAAAAAAATATTCCGTTCCGACTTCGTCGGCGCCTTGTACAACGTTTGTGCATAGCTTGCCATATCATTTTGTTTGTGGTCACCATGCTGGTTTTGCTGAATGAGAACAGAAGTTGCCGATAACTGGTTTGCCGAGGTAGATAGGTTTGCAGCTAGTAGCCTGAGGGTGATCTTTGTCGGTCAAAGAGGCTGCAAACACATTTTGCTGATTTCGGCGAGAGGCTTTGCGATATCGTGAAGAAATGTAAACATCCTTGTCTTATTTCGTCGCTGGTCGATGTTTTCAAGCCATACCGCTCATGCCTTTGTGGCTCTTTATGTTTTCCCAGGGTTGTATTTTATAGCAGCATAATTACTTTATCTTTTATGCCACGAAACGATTTCTTTCGGTTGTAAACAGGCTTGTAGACATACATTTATAAGCGTTGCAAGCTCAAAGTTTGAATTCTCTGATTCCATATTTGGGCAAAATAATTTTCCGTACTTCTGATTGGACGGCTGCGTCGGCTAAAAAACCCGAGCATGGTTCTAAACAGATAAGGGGAATTTAGACGCTTCGGGGTTGTATGCTTCTGTACGAACCAAACGGCATGTTGCTTACCATTTGCCAGTTTCTTGGTTCCTTCTCGGTTCCAGACTCACGCTACACAAATTCGCCCCCTTTTTGCATTCAAACCGTAACAGATGTGGTATTTCTGCGGTAAACTGGTAAATCGCTCATCATTATTCTTTCCACACCCCAACCGGACTTTTCTGTCAAGTGGTAAGCACCTCTTATCTCTCTCCCTTACCACTACACTACGACAACGACTCGACAAACGTCCGACAAACTTAAGTACATAGACTAGCAAACTGTCTTTACTACGGCTATGTTTACAAGAAGGGAGAGTAATCCTGATGCTAGGGTTACCCTAGCACTCACACATTTCTTCTTTTTTTAGTTGTCGTATTTACAGGGCAGGTAGAGTTACGCTAGCAAGAGGGTTACCCTACCTGCCTTGTAAACGCTCTGCTAGGGATAACTCGCCTACCCGGGACAACTTTCCTCTGTCATGCGTGACCATTAATCTTGACAATTTGAACGGAGTTATCCAATTTCTGAGCTAAATTATAAACATCTGAACAATATAAGGTATTTTCTGCATACGATGATAATATTTTCCCGTGTTTTCGTGAATTTAACGCGTTTCCCATAGAGAACTTTAAGTTTTATTTCAACTCTTGGACGTTACAAAGAATGTGACGCATGACGAAACACGTTAGTAAAGCTGGTAAAGTTGACCCGGGTGATAGGTTAACCCTACCTGTGAAATTTGCTTGTAAACCAGAGTTAACTTTAACCCGCTTGCTAGGGTATCCCTAGCACAATGGTAACAATCTCTCCTTGTAAACAAGCCCTAACTGATACATTAATAACAGATGACCCTAGCCCTTCCATAGCTTTAATTCAACTTGGGTTTCAACGTCGTTCTTTCTAAGACTATCCAAAAAAGTATTATTTGCCTTCTTATAGTTAATCCAAGGAATATATAACATCTTTCATGACTAAGGGGCTGGTTACCAATAGTGGCATCGACCGTTAAAAATGGCAACGACCGGTTACGAAAGGAAAATTGGGGTCGATGAAAGCTGCACAATCAAATCGACACAATCGAATTACGAAAACCAGCGGTACGTGGTAGAAATGTCATAAATATCGAAGTGACAGTACTAGACAACCGATAAACAAACCTATTACACACAAACTACGATGAATCGTGTTTTTGTTATTCTCTGCAGTATTTTGCCACTACTTTAGACGACACTGCTGTAGACAACATTATTTGTTATCAGTTCCTCCAAACTAAATCATACCTTCTTGGGTTGGTGTTACTGCAGCTTCCATGGTCGGAACAAACTGGTTCTCCTGGACAGTCAGGTGTACTACAGTCATCCCCAGTCCACCCCTGAGCACATATACACTTCTGAGTTTCCGTGTTGCAGAAGCCGTTATTCGGACTTGTACACTGCCGTGGGCACCCTGGCAGCTCGCAGTATTCCCCCATATGAGCACTACCTTGCACCTGAACGCAAACGCATTTGTTGTTGACGCATTCTCCATATCCGGAGCACTCACTTTGACAACCACTGCCCGTATAACAAGGATCGCAATGGCATATTCCATCTTTAGGTGTACCGTGGACGCAGGGGTCATTACAGGCCGCACCCATCCAGCCTGGATCACAGTTTGTGCATGCTGGCGTCACGCGATTAGTTGCGTTGCAATATCCACGACCAAAACAATTTGGAACGCCGGGACAGTCAGGGAGATGACAACCAACACCTGTCCATCCTGGTAAGAAACATTTTTTCATAACATTTGAAAAAAAGATCAATAAACCCTTTATTTGACTATATATTTTGCTGAATCCGCGAGCAGGCAAGATCAAGTGAATGATATGTTCTGCTCACCAGAGCGGACAAGATGGGCCTCTCTCGTCCACTCAGGATTTTCCGCGGTGGTCCCGCCAGAGGAAAATTCTCTTTTGGCCATAAAATATGTTCTTTATTAATCAACCTTGTTCGGTCAACATGGCTGGAACACGGCTTTGTCCTTTTTTTTAAAGTTTTTATCGACCTCGACTTGGTCTTGGTCCATGAAAAAGAGGAAAACCCGAAGTCAAGTTCCACCCATCTTGACCTAATGCTTGTTCAATAGTGCATACTAGTAACTGCTAATTAGGAACAGGTCCAGTGCATTTTATTATTGACGGAACGAATACAGTGCGTGTGTCCAAAACCGTTGATAATTAATGACGGGTTTTCATCACAACTTAGTGGTTTGCCAGTTAAGGAAAACTCTGCACCAAATAGTTGTTTTATCTTTTATAGATTAAGCTCTTTTTATTTCATTTACTTGAATTTACTACAGTTAATGAATAGCCAGTCCAATGTTGGAAGCTAGTTTTACCTGGATCACAAATGCACTGATGGTTTGCACTGTCACATTGGCCATTTCCACTACAGTCCTTTCCATTAGACCCAGGACATCCGGGTACCTCGCATAAAGAGCCCCGCCAGCCAGTAAGTTGATCACATACGCACACATCATTGACGCACTTTCCGTTCCCTGTGCACTCCACATTGCATCCGCGACCAGTGTAACAAGGATCGCAGACGCAGTTTCCACTGTCCATAGGTACTTGCTTTCCATGTGTACAGAGGTCTTCACAAGCTGGGCCCATCCAGCCAGGTGTACAGTTTGTACAAACTGGGGGGTCGGTAGTTACATCACAGTGACCTGACCCAAAAAACAAGGACCAGAGTCAGAAAAAGTTTAAAAGTCATTCAAATGGAAGCCACTGGAAAGTACTTTTGCATTACAATGCTTATGATTCTGATTCTTATGATTAAGGTGTTTAAATTTTGAGTCGGTGCATGAACCTCTACAGTATAGCGTATAGGAACGAACGCTACCAGCGGCACATTGTATACACACTATAGTAAATCAATTGAGTACTTGAGTGGTAATTTCTCTCACGGTTCTTATGTTTGTTCTGGGGATGGCTTTTTTTAACCAATAATCACACAAGTAAAAACTATCTTGGACTACCATTTGCCGATGCAACTTGTTACGTTGGACAAGCTGATTCTTATTTCAAGATAGACAGTTCATATAAAAACTATTGTGAGACACTGGGCAACACAAAAAGGTACTTTAAAAGTCTTTTATCGACAGTTGAGGTATGAGCAGTGCTTTTATATGATGCAGTGATTTTTTCTTTTCCAGTTTTCCCAAAGGAACATTTCCGTAAGGCTTATTCGGCCAGGTTACCAAGGGTAGAGCCTATCTTTTCTATGGAAGTAGTAGTGACTGTATGAATATGCCAGTCTACGCTGACCCCACATTTCGTGTCTCTGCTTTAACGCGTGCCATTTTTATTCATTCTAGATGAACAATTTCTTCAAGGAAAATCTTCTTAATGTGAGCATCGACTGATATCTCCCATTTTAATGTCCCACAAAGCGTTTGCTCTTTTAAGTTATGGCTTATTTCGTAGTAATTAAATGCTCTTTTTATCCGTGTGCTAACCTTTACAGGTTCTTAAAACAGTAGATATTATGATCAGTTTCATAGTTTCATAGCACAGAGCAGATAGTTAGATCCAAACGAATCTTCGCGGAACTCTGATAATCAACAGTTTTAGATATCTATGCTTACCTCTGTTAGCACAGTTGGGATTCCCTGGGCAGTCAGGAATGTGGCACCCATCGCCGGTCCATCCATTCTTGCAGATACAGGTGTGTGTGGCACTGTTGCATTCTCCGTGTCCGGTGCAATCTCGCCCAATTCCTGGACATCCGGGATTTTCACAGTACGTCCCACGCCATCCTACGTCACACTGGCACGTGCCATTGACTATCTTACCATGTTCTGAGCATTCACTATTGCATCCAACACCTACCCAACCGGGCTCGCAGACACAGTTACCGCTGTCCATTGGAATTTGTTCACCGTGGATGCAAGGATCGTTACAAGCCGGACCCATCCAGCCCTTACTGCAGTTTTGACATTTTGGGGGGTCCACAGACGCGTTGCATATTCCTTGCCGGAAGCAATCAGGTGATCCTGGGCAGTCGGGAATTTCGCAGCCTTTGCCAGCCCAGCCTTCGTTACAGGTGCATATGTGAGTTGCTGAGTTACATAACCCGTGGCTTGAGCAATCAGAGGTGTCACCAGGGCAACCAGGATTATCACACAGGTCTCCTCGCCATCCCACGTAACAGACACATTTGTCATTTACTATTTTGCCGTGTTCTGAACACTCGCTGTCGCAACCAACACCTTAAAAATTAATATATAAAGAAATTTTTAGTAGACGTCGTACAGTTGCCAAATCCGTGTAGTTTTTACGTTAGTTATTAGGAAAAACGTGTTTGCTAAGGATTGTGAAACATAATAAACGTGATACATACGGCTGTTTGTATATTTTAAATCAAATATTGACAATATCTAGCAAGTGCGTTTCTTTCTACCTTCTAACCGCTGCGTGTAGTTTTAGAAACTAGTTAAAAGACAAATGCACTGAGAGAAATTTTTGGTCTTTCTCACCTGAGTATCCAGGCCAACACTGACATTGTCCGCTGTTCATAGGCACTTGCTCACCAAACTTACACGGTTCTGCGCATGCCGGTCCCATCCAGCCTTGAATGCAGTTTTGACACTTAGGAGGATCTACAGAAGCGTTACAATAGCCGCGGTTATAGCAATCTGGAGCACCAGGGCAGTCTGGGACATTACATCCTGATCCAGACCAACCAGGGTAGCATGTACATTCATGTGTAGCGCTATTGCAGTCCCCGTGACCGGTACAATCTTCTCCAACTCCAGGACAACCAGGTATTTGGCATAGTTCACCTCGCCAGCCTTGGAGGGTCGCAATCGCAAATGCCTGACTGTGAACACTTCCCCCGACCCATGCAGAGAGAATCGCAGCCTTTGCCGGCCCAGCAACGATCGCACTTACAGAATCCACTGTCCGTGGGTTCTTGAACTCCTTGAACGCAAGGATCATTACATGCGGGCCCCATCCATCCAGCAGAGCAGTTCACGCACTTTGGATTCGTACCATTTATCACTACACAAATACCTCGGTTATAACAATTCGGTTCACCTTGACAGTCAGGTTGGCTGCAATCCTCTCCGCTCCATCCTGGGTTACAGAAGCAAGTGAGAAGAGCACTGTTACAAATGCCTTTCCCTGAGCAATCATTTGGACATTTGGGTACTTCGCAATATTCACCCTTCCACTTGTTTTCACACTCACAAGTGCTGTTATTGCATAAGCCATGGCCTGAGCACAATGAATGACAGTGTTTGCCGATGTAGCACAGATTACACCTGCATTTTCTGCCAATACAAGCCCCATTCCCAGAACATTCATATCTGCAGTCATCACCAGTGTAACATGGGTCACATATGCATTTCCCAGTTATGCTACAGCGTCCATTGCCGTGACAGTCACGCGTTGCATTACAGGAATGCTCGCATCGATAACCAACATAGCCAGGGTCACAGATACATCCGCCAGAAGATGAACACTGCCCATGACCAAGACACGTGACTGGTGCATTACAATTATACGCACAGTTTACTCCATAGTATCCAGCATCGCACGTGCATTTTCGTTGTTGAGCCAAGAATGTTCCGTGTCCACTGCAATGATGACCATCTTGACATATTTTTCCAAGTTCTCCTCCTCTGGCACTGCGGCCTCCAGATGCCCCGCCGGATACATCTCTGTTTCGTATGACGTCGCGCCTAATATGATCGGGGGAAAAGTGACGAAGGTGTCCGCCTCCTCCGCCGCCGCCATAATAACAGTGGACCGAGCAGCATTCAGATTTATAGCTTCCTGATCCTGATCCTGATCCTCCCTTGACAGTGAGATGGCCGTGTCCTGCGGGAATAAGGCAGCAAAACCAGGAAGTGAACAATGAGTCTATAATTGTAGTAGTGGTAATAGTAGGCGTATGTCATTGGACTGCCAAACACCTCCTCAGACCAAGACAGATGTTATCCGTATTATTTGTTGTTAGTTTCCATACGAAGGTGAAAAGTATGTCCTTCAGGAAACACCATGAAGGGCAAAATTTTATAATGACATTCTGTTTATCACCTTCAAAATGCCTTGCAGCAACCCAGATAGTTCCACCGCTCGCTCCCCCACCACCACTGTCTCCACTCTTTCCATCCGCCTTGATCCATCCATCAAGTTCCATCATTTTCTCCACACTAACATATATCACTCCTCCACCGGAAGCGAAACTCTTGCCTCCACCACTTCCAGCAAGTACAGCGGTACAAGGATGTTCGTACGTGTTCCCTGAAAATAAAGGGAACAATTGGAAACACTTTCAAAGAGCTTTACCAAATTGTAAAAATGGGAAGTTTAGTTTTGATCATGAATCGTGAGTCAATGTGGGCCGGTGCTTAACAATCGTATTCTGAATTTAACTAAACGCACTGTCAAAAATTGTTTATATTGAACGGAATCGAAAACAGAATTTAGCGCGCTCTGAGAAAACAATCATTTACAGAAATCAACCATTTATTTGCACCTGAAGAGCAACAAGAAAAATAAGGAGAAATCTTTGTATCTAGTCTTACCTTTAACGATTCAGATTTTTGCTGATAAACATTCAAACCTTTTTCCGGAGCTAGATTGTATGGTTTTTCTCTTAGCCGTTCGACTCCACGACCGAGTAGATAAAAAAGGCTGATAGCGCTAATTACCGAATACTCACTACCTACAACTGCATATAAATAACCTTTTTTTCCAGTGAAAAGAACTTGACGAAGTAATTCGGGCTATCTATCTGTCATTTAACAACAGGGCCAAGTATTTACCGCTTTGCCATCCATAAAATTGAAAAGCTATTAAGAATAATCATCTAATCATCTGGTGATACGCAATTTAAAGAGGTGTTGAAACCAACCGACAACAGATAAAAAATGCCAGAAAGCGTTTCAACTTAGTTACCTCCACCACTGGTGTGACAGCTGGAAGAACAACCAGTCCAGTAGCCGTAACCTCCACGTCCACCGTGACCGGCTCCAGCTTGCCCAGAACAAGATGACGTGCTTCCTGGTCCCTGCTGGTTAGGCCAACCAAGTCCTGTCCCATCAGTTGACGCGTCAAACTCAATACTGAAGTACTCCGCGTACATATTCACGGCATCAGCTTTTATTGAACCAGTGTAATCCAGGGCGGTGTGGAGAATATGAAGATGCACTGCTCTTGCTGAGACGTTCTGGGTTGAGCTTTGAACCTTAAAAGAGCCCCCAAGAGACACCTGGAGTCTCTTAAACCAATAATGCCCGACGTATGGTGTGGTGAATGAAGTATTGCACGCCACACATCCAGATGACCCTTTCTCTGATACAAGCGCTTGCACGTTCGAAGACACTCTTAACTCTTCTATGCCGTGGATTTCACCGTTAACAGTCAAACCCGGTGAGGCGACTCCACGAAGGGTTGTTCGAACCGGAAACAAAATCTCTCCCCCGTGTCTACCCGATAGTTGACAGGGGCCTCAGTGCGAAGGCTGTGAGTTTCCACGTATATCCGGGTATTTGGTAACGCAATCAACATGCCTGTCTTGTCACCTGTGACTTTACTGGCGTACAGTTCTGCAACTTTTCCAGAGACCTTGTGAGAAAATGGAGATTGAAAAATAATCATTACTGCTTTCTAAGCCACAAAGAATAAATACAACACAGTGACTGAATAAAACTATGGATCCCCTAAGGTGTGAGTTTTAATAGCCACATTTTCAACTCTTTCTTACCTCTTTAATGTTTAATGCTCCCTGTTTTACTAAGTGGATTCTCTGAAATACGTACACCACAGGGTCTGTTTCCGCTAGGGTAACCGGCAACAGTGTATTTCTGTTGTTGTTATCAACCTGTATCATGCGGAAAGGGTCCTCGCCAACAGTCACATTCACAAACACTGTCCCTGGGCTGCCATGGTAACTACTACTGCTACCACTAGTGCCTCCAAGTGCAGTTAATTTCCCACCGAAGATATAGCGTTCAATAAGATGAACAGCGATCCGGCCTCCAGCACCAGCTCCTTCGTTGCTAGGACCTGGAAGAATATGATTGTAAACGTATTTGATTGTCTGGGGTTTTATGCCGATCTTAGCCTCCAAATACACCCTTTTGCACAGAGTTAAAAGGGGGAAAGCGACTTTTGGTGGCAGAGGTATGAAGAATTGAAATGTTTGATAGAATTTGGTAGTAAATCAATTGTCTCTTTCCTTGTTGTTCAAACCCTATTTTGTGCTTTGTTCACGCCTATGTGCTTTTAAGTCGCGCACTTTACAGCTGAACGCCATATGTCCACTTCCGCCATTCGTTATCATAAAAAGTGCATTCGCATCCAGCACAAACATTTTAGTCTTTAGCTTTGCGTTTGTTAAGTTATTTTTTACGTCACCATTACTAACGAGGTTTCCCCAGACAGTGGTTGTCTTTACACTAGGCTGTTAAGTAAGACTTAAGAGCCGCTAAGTTTCACTTAACCAAAAATGCGTGTGTGAAGGCCTAAGTAAAATTCCAAGTAACCTTACTTTGCATCTCATTAAAGTAGGAAAGGTAAAACGATTCAAGAAAGTTTCAAGTGACTTGAAAACCATCCTAAAGACCGACTTAGCGAACTTGCGGTTTCTAAGCTTTGAGAAGGGCGTAGCATATCAATCAATCTTAATTATGTTGCGTGGGAAAATAGGCTTACGTAAACCTGAAGTAAAAAAGATAGGTTGCACGTGAAGCTTTCTTTCACTTGAAGAATTTAAAATTTACTTGTCTTGAAATATTTCTCAGCTTATTTAGGCTCTAGTGTAAAGACTACCAGTATCTTAATTTCTCGCGTGCAAAAAATATATACCTGTTAAGTAAACGTAATGCTATCATTTAATAACAAACCTCCGTGACATTCTATGGTTCCATAGCCTTTAACGAACAAACTTTTTACGATAATTGCACCACCGCTACCTCCACCAGAGGAACTTGAAGATGACCCGACGCCATTGGCTCTGATCACTCCTTCTACGATCACATGACTGCCCGTTGCAATGTAAACCCACCCACCACCAGCGCCGTAGCCGCCGCCACTTCCGGGTTTATCTGGCCAGTAAACAGAGCCATATTGCGTTCCTGAGGGCGCTCTTCCGCCCGGGGAGGCGTGGCTTCCACCTGTATTTCCGGACCCAGACCCAGGTCCGTTTCCAGGCGTATAACCAGCCCCTGTCGCGTCTATCAATCCTCCACTTTCGACAATGATATAGTCGCCTTTCATGGTCACGTAATTAGTAGCAAGATTGAGTTGACCGCCTGGTGAAATGCAAAAGAAGTAAATTTAAAAGAAAATCTCACTGACACTGGAGTTCCTTTAGTGGCACAGGCTCGTTCTTTTTGACACATGAGTGAAGGGCGGTTTGGGCTTCAAAAGCGGGATCTTAGGGATATTCATTGCCAATTGTTGAACCATCACATTTTCAGTTTTCTGTTGCCCACTGTTTTGATGTATGAAAAGTAGGACAGTCGTAAGCCTGTGAACTTCTTTGTCTTCAAAAACGTGCGGCTAGAATTATTTTTGAATGTCGAAAAAACGACCTTTTCGGTTTGTTCGTTTGTCGCTCTAAACTGGGTCCCTTTTTATGCTGAATCGTATGTGAACCGATTCCCTCTAACTTATAATAGCAACACCCCAGAAAATCTGACACCCCTATAGATACTGTAATCTTGATTTAAGTTGTCCTCGCTACAAGAGAAGAACGGAAGCTGCGTGACGTTCACTTTTAGAGCAGTCTCCTTCGCAGCCGCTCGGCCCAGAGTCACGCAATGCCCCTCGCCCCTGCGTGGGGGCCGGCAGCATTGCGTGACTCCGGCCCGAGTGGCTGCGAAGGAGCCTACTGTTAGAGGTATCCAGGAATAAAACAAGGGTTATGTTGACCTCAAACGTAGTCCAAGTACAAAGTTAACAATCATACATTATTAATTAGTTTTGTTAATGCTTATTTACGGTGGTTTTAAATATTATTGAAATTAGATTCGCGGCTGTATGCAGTGTGCTTATTGAAACAAGCGGTAGATCAGTAATTTTGTGGTAGAGAGAGATGAAATACAAATTTAATTTTAACCGTCGAGGAATCATCTTAGTTTCGCTACGAAATGCAATTAACCATGTGTGCATGTTTAATGCTTGTGCCCACGTAAACATATGCAATATTTAAATACTAAAACGCTCCTTGACTAACGACACGTAAACTTCCACCACTAATTCAAGATACATAGATTAATTTAAGTTCACTACCACAAGGCGATTAGACAGTGATTTCAAGCAGTGTAAAAACATTCGTGACGAAAGAGTAACCACGAAACTGTTTTTGACCTGTACTAAATCTTTCTTATAACGAGCGAATACCTCTTTGGAAAGCAATTTCTATGTGCTGAGCTCTTCTGATTTAATGGTATTCTATCCTTACGTGACGTGACCAATTATTGTCGCCGAAAGGATAGGAGTTTGGAAGAAATGTTACAGATAGAGAACAGGTGTGGCGCCACACAAAAGGAAAGCTATTCACAGCAATAAAGAAGACGTATGAATAGAACAGAAAAGTAGATACCTTTCTTGACTGTAATGTCAGCAATATCAAGAACAGCCCTGATGGGTGTCATTTTGACTCTGACCACACCTACGTTGTTAATGATCAGCATCGGGACAGTTATAAGCCCAGGGGTGAATGGATCAAACGGATTATCAGCCAGCCATTCGGCCTCCTCCGGTAACTTGGCCGTATGCGCTGTTCCACCAAACTCTACCAGGCCATTTCTCTCAAGCACTAGATTCTCAACACCGGTCATTCGGCCGTTGATAGTGGATGTTTCACCCCGCAAGACTACTTCTGTTGGAAACACGATCTCGGCGTATTCCTCCACGTGAAAGCCACACGGAGCGTCCATGTACGTGTGGGTAGACTCCACTACAAACACAAACAAACGCTGGCGTGCCATCAACTTGACGATGCCTGTTTTATCTCCGGTGACTTCATGAGCGATGACGGTCACGTTTCGCGCTTTTTCCGGATGGTAGAAGATAACCGTAGAATGACCTACAATGAAATGTATACAGAGAAGTTACATGAACTAGAATCATCACGGAAATTCCCCAAAACTGCTGGACTGAACAATTATTCAAATTATTGATTGTCACATGTTCCCAATAGGGTGAGCCAGCGCTACTAGTTAGCAACAGTCCCAGGATCAAGAGTCGACATTTCTGTCCGCTGAATTTATATCTAGCCTTTGGACCACCAGCAGAAACCATAATTGACTCCTGTAAGCAGATGCAATCCTTGCTAAAAAAATTTCCATTACATATGTCTGTAAAATGTTACAAACGCTTTTCTTAGAGTAAGACTACCCCGCAATCTAGATTATTATTATTATTATTATTATTATTATTATTAAAAAAAACGTGGAAGTCGATGAGGAAACCGTGAGTCATGATGAAATCTAAAGTGCATCAAATAACGCACTGCAAACAATGAACACCTCTCCACAACTACATTTAAACTGTGTTTAGTAGTAAGTTTTCATGTTGAAGTTTTTACCGCACATGAAACTTATTATTATTGAAAACAATATTACCCAATAAATAGTAACGAGAGATCTAAAGCTTAGGCTTGGACAGAAAAAATAAAAAAAATCAACATGCTCTACCTTCAAGTTGCATTTCGTCGAATTCGTAAAACACCGTTTGATTCTCCATGATGACTGTTGGAGTTGCTACATCGTTGTTTTCGTTGTCCACCTTGACTTTGGCGTGTTCAGGTTTAAATGAAGTTAAGTTCGCCTCTGGGTTGTACTTGAGTTCACGGTACTGTGGTCCGCGGCGACTCTCGTACTTGTAAACTGTACCTGCCGCGCCTGCGTTGCCAGAGTTACCAGTAACTATACCACCAACGGAGCGAAATTTACCTAAAAGAAGGACGTTAACGCGCATAATAACGTTTAGGCCATAAATATTGTGATTAAATAGCGGAAAGTATCTAATTTCTCGATGTTGCTTGTGTGAGAATACTTCTCTTTTTGCAACTGTTTTATCCTTAGGGCAAAATGTGTATTGAAAAACGAACGAAAATGTTTTAAAAGAAATTTTTGAACATCCGAGTAAACGACCGTTCTATAGGTCGGGAATACCTTGGAAAGACGGATGAGGGGTTTCTGGACTCAACAAAAAGGAACTAATGAGCCATCAACGGTACAGTTCCCTCGAAAAACGGAAAGCGGTCAAATAGAAGACAAAAGCACGAAACTGGAACTACAATGAAACTGAAAAAATAAGCAAACTTCAAGTATCCAATGAAAAATTACACAGAATTAACCACCCGTCTCAGAAACTGAGAACGGTATCTATAAACGTTTGTGCTTACCGCCAAAGTTATTCTGAAAGTCAACATGCACTCCAATCCTACCACCAGCGCCTGCGCCGCCACTGCTTTGAGAGTTGCCACCATTGACGTTAATCTCGCCATGTCCAGTCATATTGGTTGTCTCTATGAGTACACTACCCCCGCTACCTCCCCCACCGGTACCACTTCCGCTGTTTCCTTTAGATGTAATGAGCCCGTCCAGGTGAAGATGTTTACCGATCTGCCACCACAATGATCCACCACCTTAAAAGACAGTAAGCGTACACCAGTAAAATGACATATTATATTTCAAGAAGGCCAAGAGACCCTTTGAAAAGGGCGAGGACGCTTCACATGATAAAACTAAAGGTATAGCAACGAAACGGATCCCAAGAACAGGAAAATCTCATAAATGGTACAGCATTATCTCTTGGTGGTCCTTAAGTCTAGATCAAGAGCTACGTACGTTTATATTTTTGGTGGCAACTTATGTTAACGCACAGAGTCTCCAAAAGATACTATAGTTTTTTATTTTCGGGAGAGACGCCATGCCTTCGGGAGGATTTTGTTATTTTTGCCAAATAAAAATATCAGAACGGATACCATATGCATAAGTTTGCTGGACCAAATCTTATTTTGGGGGAGAAAAGATTGTGATCTCAAGGAATATTGTGCACTTGTCCTTCAAAATTCAGTGAAGTAAAAATATCCTGAACAACTGCCTGTTCGTGTGTAACACAATGTGAGTTAAAAAAGGTTGGCATGATGCTATAGTCCTATCAGAACGTTTCTCGGTTTTAGAAATCAAGAATATACACAGGCGTCCCAAGCTCACGTTACGAGGCTGGAATGTTATTTCCATTGACGCAAGCGAGTCGGTATAGTGTTACCGTTGTATGAGAAATAAAATACTGAGGTTTGCGAACGATAAATATCGACATATTTTACCTCTTGATCAATAAACTAAATAAACAAGATTTATCTTTGATGTATGTCCGTGTGTTTCGCTGGGAATTCATCGATTTTGTCCACTTTTTGGCTTTACTGCCCCCCCCTTTACTTACCCCCCCTTGTAAGACTATGACTTACACGAGTTATAGGGGCCAAAAAAGGGACTAAATCGATGAATTAACACCCAAACACACACAAATACGTCAAAAAGGCAAAATATATCGATATTTACCGTTCGCAGACCTCAGTATTTTATTTCTCATACAACGTTTCGACCAGCACGATAACGCGTTACCGACTCGCTCATGTCAATGGAAATTACATTCCAACCTCGTAACGTGAGCTTGGGATGCTTGTGGAATTTACAGCTATTTCAATTAACGTTGTCGGAATGACTACTTAACGAGACCGTATTGTTAATAGGGTATTTTTTTTTAAATTGCCAATCTCAGCCATGACGCAACTTTTCTGTCTTTATTACAAAAGTCAATTTTCGTGAATTTTTATACCGTCTCATGGCTCTGATAACCGCAAAATTATGATCGAAGTACAAAGATTTTCAGCTACCCACATGACCTTGCTTTTGTGTTGCCTGGGCTTGAAGCCCTTGAATTTAACAACTTTCAGTGCAATAGCTATTTATTTTCTTTGGTGTAGGTTTTTACGACATTTACGTGACTACATGTAAAAAAATTTAGAGCTCACCCGCGCCTCCACTTCCAGTTCCCTGTCCTCCACCGCTACCGGCGGAAAGTGGTTTATAAACAGAGCCATATGCGCTACCACCACGGTGGTTATTGTACGATATGCCCCCTTCACCACCGAAGCCGGCGCCAGATCCTCTGTTATATGAAGAGGTTGAGCCTGCGCCAGGACCAGTAGCAGCCCGGTGCCCAGCGCCATCAAGTGTCACGATACCTTTCGTTTCTAATTCAGCGAAGGCAGAGTAAAATATCCCATGATTTATCTTGACCATTCCTTTGTGGAGAATCTCAAACACAGATGAAGTAACTGAAACTAAAACCTTGCGTACTCTTACCAGGTCCAAAATGCCACCCTGCTTGATAATGATATGTGCGTAGGAACAGTTGCCAGGTTCTGTGATATCAACGTAGGTGCGGTTTTCCGTTATGGCTGTTTGTGCTGTTGATGCTATCTTCAGGGTTGCTCCGTCCTCAAGGAAAAGAAAGTGCACACCAGTCATCAATCCATGTAGTTCGGATCGGACGCCGTGTACATGAAACTCAGCTGGAAGAATGATCTCTGCTCCGTTATCGATGTGGTAGCTGCACGGCGCTTCTGTTCTGTTAGTTTCAGACTCGAAAACTTCAACATAGATTTTCTGATTCACTCGTAAATGAAACTGTCCAGTTTTGTCTCCAATAAACTTATGAGCTATTACTGTAACGTTTGTCTCGTTTGGATTATAAACGATAAGTCTTGAATAGCCAGTTAACTCCACCTATATAAAGAGAAAAAATGTTGGATATGAACACCGGGATATGTAGGGATTCTTGAAAAGAACAAAAATTATAACTTTTTTTTATTTGAAACTTATTTCTAATCGCTTGTCACTCATCTTGACTTAAGTGACAGTTCATAATGTTACGGATTATCTCACATGCATGCCTTTCATTACGTTTCAAAACAAGGCAAGAGGTACGCAAACGTATTACTAAGATTTGTACCTCATCAAACTCGTAATCTGTTGTCCCCTCCTCCATCAAAACAGTAGCCTCTGGAACATCTCTTCCTTCGTTGTCCACGTGTACGTACGTGTGGTCTACAGCTAGGAACGTAGTGTTCGTTTCTTTGCTGTACTTAAGTATGCGGTACTCCAGGGGACGGAAGTTCTCCTCTTTGTAAATTGTCCCCGCGGGGGCACTATGGTCATTACTACCTGGGTTAATCCCACCACGATCAGTAAATTTCCCCCCGTATGTATACCTCCATCGGCAATGTATTCCAACTCGCCCCCCAGATCCTCCACCTCCTTGGCTGTTAGCGTCTCCTCCGATTACAGAGATCTCCCCGTGCCCAGTCATATTTGTTGTCTTTATTAGAATGCTGCCACCACTGCCACCTCCTGCATGGCTTCCTACGCCATTTCCACCTCTGGCTGAAATAAGACCATTTAACTCGAGGCGTTTTCCAACTTCCCATAGAAGCTGCCCTCCTCCGGTTCCTCCCGTCCCACCACCATTTCCCCCTCCGCTACCAAGCACCAGTGGTCGATAAACGGACCCGTAGGCTGGGCCTCCTTCGCGAGCTCCTCTTCCACCATAACCAGCGCCACGACCTACTTGATAAGACAAAATAAAGCTGCTTCCTGCACCAGGGCCCATTTCAGCGGGATGGCCTCCTACATCCAGGTTAAAATGGCCTTGACTGTCCAGCCAAGCAAACGATGACAACACCTCACCATGATTCATACTTACTTTTCCTTGATATTTGATTTTTAGAATATCGCAGTTTATTCTCAAGAATCCGGTGTTTTTACGGAACTCAATATCACCACCTTTCTTTACCACAACAACAGCAAATGAGATATTTCCGGGCTCTGATACTGCAATGTACTTGTTGTTCTCTATTAGCGCTGTCTGACTGGTTGAATAAAAATCTGCTTCAGCACCGTATGAGACCAGTAAATCCCGAACACCAACTATCATACCCTCAAATACTGACCGAGTGCCGTGCATGTTAAACTCAGATGGTAAAATAATCTCTGCACCAACATCGATCCTATAACTACAAGGCGCTTCCGTTTTGTTTGTTTCCGACTCTATATACTCCACAAATATTTTCTGATCTCGGCGAATGTGAAACTGTCCGCTCTTATCACCAATAAACTTGTGAACTACTGCAGTGACATTGACATCTCCTGGGTGGTATAGCACAAGACGTGAATAACCAGTTAATTCCATTTCGTCAAACTCGTAGTAGGTAGTGTTTTCTTCCATCAGTACAGTCGCTCCCGGAACATCAAAGCCATCGTTGTCGATGTGCACATAAGTGTGATCGACAGCTAACATGGTGGTGTTAGTTTCCTTCATATATTTCAGATGACGGTATTCAAGAGGCCTAAAGTTTTCTTCTTTATACACTGTACCTGCTGGGCCGCCATTTTGACCTCGCTGTCCACCGTGGTCGGTAAACTTTCCGCCATATCTATATCGCCAACGACAGTGGATTCCAACTCGCCCTCCGGATCCTCCGCTACCTGAACCAGTTCCCGAACCTCCGGTAACGGAGATTTCTCCGTGACCAGTCATGTTAGTAGTAGTAATCAAAATACTACCACCACTTGCTCCTCCAGCATTTGATCCTTTACCATCAGTTCCTTTAGACGACAGAACTCCGTTTACTTGAAGTCTCTGGCCAACAATCCAGAAGATCGACCCCCCTCCAGACCCACCAACGCCTTGACCATTACCTCCGCCGCTACCATACATCCGTGGGTTATACACTGAGTCGTATGGGATACCACCTTCTCCATAATCTGTTTTCCCTCCTTCTCCACCATGCCCAGCCCCGGAACCCACATTGTTCTGTGTCCTTCCATGCCCGACCCCTTCTTCCGGGCCATAGCCCGTGCCATCTAAGGTCAAAATACCTTCACTTTCAATCCACCCAAACGCCGAGAAAATGTAACCGTGATTCATGGTCATTAATCCCTCGTACTTGATCCTGAACTCAGAGCATCGTAAACTTAGCGTGTAGTTGAGAATACGACTGAAAGTCAATTTGGAGTTTCTTTCAACAGTGACTGTAGCAAATGAAAAGTTACCTTTTTCGTCTATCTCAACATAGCGACGATTCTCGACTCTGGCAGTCTGAGAGGTAGACGAGAACTCAACAAATCCGCGACTTGCGATTATTAAGTGTTCAACTCCAGTGATGCGACCCTCGATGATACTTCTGGTTCCGTAAATGTTAACTATAGCGGGAAACACAACTTCAGCTCCTTCGTCAATCTTGTAACTGCAGGGTGCTGTTGTCTCGTTGGTTTTAGACTCGACGACTTCTACGTATATTGTTTGGTTCACTCTGACATGAAACCTTCCGGTACCGTCTCCAAGAAAACGATGAATAATGACAGTCACATTTGGACTTCTTGGAGGGTGTCTTACTTGCAGGTTGGCGTGTCTAGTCAATAACAGTTCATCTAGTTCATAGAATAAGTGCTCACTCTCCAGCAACATGGAGGACATGTCTGTTTTACGACCTTCATTGTCAACTTGCATGTACTTGTGCGTGGCAGTAACGTGTGTTTTATTAGTAGTTTTGTCGTACTTCAGTTCGGCATATTGCGGTCCACGTGCAGTTTCCTCGACATAAACTGTGCCAGCAGCAGCGTAGTTTTTCCCGCCTCCTCCATAAGCCTTGTAAACACCAGCGTACTTATGTCTAAAGCGAACATGCGCAGAGATACGACCGCCTGAGCCTCCTGAACCACTCGGACCAGCACCTTCTCCTCCAATAACATTAATTTCTCCATAACCAGTGAAGTTCGTAGTCTCGATAAGAATACTTCCTCCACTACCCCCACCAGCATTAGTTCCAGATCCAGTGCCACCACGTAATGTAACCAGCCCATCTAGCTCTATCTCCTGACCAATTCTCCAATGAAGCATCCCACCGCCAGATCCGCCTTTACCTTGCCCATTTCCACCACCGCTTCCAAGATGAACAGGACGATATACAGAGCCGTATGGCTCCCCTCCAGGCTGCCCAGCCTGAAAAACACCGCCTTCGCCACCATGACCCGCACCAGAGCCAATCTTTTTGTTTGTATTACCCGCTCCAGGGCCCACCTCCGCCGGGTGACCAGTATAGTCTAACACAAGTTTTCCTTCGCTTTCAACCCAAGCCCACGATGAGTCGATCTCACCCTGATTGATGTTGACCAACGCTTGATAGTTGACTCTAAAAATGACAGCAGTGAAAATAAACGTATTGCTTATACGTGAAAATTCCAAGCGTGAACCTTTCTGGACGTACACCTCAGCAAAGGTTATGTTGCCAGGGGAAGTAAGGAATCGAAATTCTCTGTTTTCTTTAATACCTGTAAAAATGAATTAATAGGTATATAAATCAAGTGGCAAGTATTACTGATATGCAAAGAAGGGCAACACACACCACTTTAAGCAAATACATTTGGAAAAGGAGAACTCTTTCTTTACTTGCACTGATTAAAACAGACATTCCTACTAGTAGCGAATTGCTGTGAGCGAAGTTTTGTATCCGTAATCAGTTCTTGTTTTGCAAACAGATGCCATCAAAATACGGATTTTTCTTGCTTAAAATTCCAGCTTGAGTGAAAAACATTTTTGCTAAAGCATGTTTGTAAAGATTTTTCAAGTTTCTAACGTCGACGAAAGGGGTAAAGAGTGTAAACTTGTAAAGTACAAGCTTTTAATCGTGCTAACGTGATCAGCGGGTGCACAGCAAAACATGATGACGCCACAACTGTATTTACATACCCTCATGCAAACACACTTCTCAGCCAATCAGCGAGTTTGACTGAGAAATGTAGCTTGTTGTCGTGGGAGAGATATTTAATCATTTGCAGACCGAAAACGTCTACTTTAAACAATAGAAACGAACTAGAAAATGAAAATGAAATAGAATTGACATTCAAGAAAATTTTAATTATGATTAGATTGTGTCGGAAATGTGACACGTCCCTTGTAAACATTGTTCTCGGTTCCCTTATCTCTCTATACATTCGTTATTTTAGCGGTTGCCTAATTATTACTTTGTTTAACTCAAAGTAAAAATAAATGTTAGAGACCATTTATTCTAGCTTCAACAATCTACTACGAAAACTAAAAAAACGAAAGGATATTTTGTTATAAGTGATAAATAATGGCAGATCGAAAAAATCTTAAGGCCGTTCAAATGTCGGAAACAGATAAATGTGATTGAACTTACTAAGGTCTAAAAATCGAAATAACCTAACATAAAAATTTACAAGCATACCCAGGCATACCCGCTTCGCTGTGCCTCCTTTAACCGGTTACAAACAAGGAAATTAATGTTAATCTCTTTGTCTTCCATGCGCTACCATCGAAAGCTTACCTACATCTGTGGGAAAATTGCCTTTTGGTCCGTTTTTTAATTTTCTGTTTACCGTGACAAAGTAGTAAGGCCGCAATGTGGGCTTTTAATTTTTTTGCCCCTTGGTCTAAGACCAATTATTAATCGACGTAAAAAGTATGGAACGCATTTTCGATTGACGTATTAATTAATTGTTCAGTTCATAAGGTGACTGATTGATCGGCTGACTGACACACCTGTCTGGGTTGTTGAAGCGAAAACAACATCTGCACCTTCAGCAACAACAAGGCGATGGACACCAACAACTAGCCCTTCAATGGTACATCTGGTGCCCAGCAGGGTCAGGCGGGATGGGTAGACTATTTCCGCTCCTTGGTCTATTTTGTAACTCACGGGAGCAACGCTGTAGCCTGTTAAGAGTAAAGAAGGAAAAAGTACGTTTATCGTCTACTTGACAAAAGCTTTGTAATTAGCCATTTTGCTTGAATTTGTTCTCCCATACTGTCGGTATGGCCCAATGTCTTAGCTGTCTCCAGACGTTTTCATCTCGGCACGAACGAGGACAAGTTCAGTCCGAAGGTGTGGAAACAAGTTAGGTGTTGGAAGCCATGAAAGACATGGACTTGTCTGGATTGGAAAGGCGTGGATAATACAAAGCTGTGTTTCTCTTAGTTGCCGATTTGTACAATTTCCTCAGCAAAATACTTGAAATTTTCCTCTCTTACCTTTCGTAGACTCCACAACTTGAACAAACATCTTTTGTCCCGCCCTAAGGCGAACAAGGCCTGTCCGATCTCCCGTGAAGTTATGGACAACAAAAGTTGAATTACTTCCATAAATATGAAGCACACCATGGTTTCTCATCTCCAATTCATCCACCTCGTAGTAGTAGCTGTTTTCATCTATGATAATTGTCGCTATATTAGGATTGCGGTTCATGTTGTCAATTGACAGTTTTGTGAAACCCACGCCAAACACCGTTTGGTTAGCTTTATTAATGAACACAGGTCGATGAGTCAGGCCCTGATTGGTATCAGTATAGTAAACAGTGCCTGCCGCTCCAGCCTTAAAGCCTGTTAAAATAAACGAAAAAAGTTGTTGTGATACAAAATCTAATTGTCCGCCAACATTACAATATTATAGTGGGAGAGGACACGTAAAATGTTGAGAATGGTTGATGTATGAATATCTGCCTAAAGCATCACAAACCAACAAAACCTCTGTGCGGTAAAGTTACATACCAGGCTTTCAACAATGGATGATAAACGACCCACTTACTAAATAAGTGTAAATATATAAATTAATAAATAAGATCTACACGAACCTAAGCCACCATAAGCTGTATATAGTCCAGAGTACTCTCGTAACCAAGCAACGTGCACTGCAATACGTCCGCCTGAACCGCCACCTCCGTTGCGATCGCCACTCCCACCATTTACAGTCAGAATTCCATGACCGGAAAAATTTACTGTTTTTATAAGTACACTTCCTCCACTGCCGCCTCCACTGTTAGAAGTACCATTGGCTCCTTCGCTTTCAATGATACCATCGAGGTGAAGAAGTAAGCCGATTGTAATCTGTGAAACAGGAAGGAAATCTCATCTTATTCGAAAAAAAGCCTTATTCTTTGCCAATTAAAAGTTTAACATAAGATCTCAGTAATCTACGCTTGATGGCCCGAGAAAGGGAAAATATCTGGGAGGATAAACATTCCATAAGAATACTTTTTCCTTTACCTTAACAGTGCCTCCTCCTGCTCCACCAGTTTTTCCACCTCCTCCACTCCCAGCATGCACCGGATACACATACGAACCATACCCAGAACCCCCAGCGACAGTACTTCCTGGAGCTCCTTGTCCTCCATGCCCGGCACCAGACCCGGCAATACCGATAAGAGAACCAGATCCAGGTCCCTGTTCCGCTTTGAGTCCCTTCCCAGATGTGGTGATCCGCGAACTTCCTTCGAGGTGTGCCTCATTCAAGGCCATGTGAACTGTATCGGCTGAAATTACAGCTTTCTGACGCATATAAAGCGTGCTGACATCAAACCTCATGTGCTTAGCAAAAAGCAGTTGAGTGAAGGCTTCCATAATGAAGATTCCAAATACCAGTTGTCCTTCTACCGGAGATTTAATGTACTTTTTATTTTTCAGCAAAGCACTGCTGATATTTTCACCAGCTATAAAAATTGAAAAACAGTGTTAGTGTAACTTATTGCAAAGTAAATATTTCAAACACCACGGGTTTTTTTGTTTTTAAAATGGACTTTCACCTTAAAAGTGCGGGTGATGTATCAGCAAGAGCCGTTGTTGTTTGGGGGTACTCTAGATATGTGCTATTCATATAGAAGTTATTCAACGTTTGTTCTTTTAGAGTTGTCGGTTATGCTGTTCAATGTAGTTTGCCTCTTCGTTGAACCTGTTTCTCGTGAAATTTAAACGTCTGACTACCTCAACGAAGCTCAATAAAAACAATAGTACGTGATTTTCCCATTGATGTTTAAGAGTTTTTAAAATGGACTCTAAAGCCAAAAATACATCCAATAAGAACATTCAGAAAGGAAGTTTTTTGAATAAGTATAGATAAGACAGAAAAGCATCATCGTCTTCAAAGTAGTCGCTTAATAATCGCTGGAGGGCCATTTTTGTGAAAGTTACTTCGTGATACTTGCATTAATATACTTATAAAAGGCCTATGACACATGCCTAAAAGTTTCCGTGCTCGAACATTTGCTTCCTTTTTTATTCCAACGATGGACCCTTTCTTACCTAGGAAGACACGTCCCTCTGTCAGCGTCAGATTAGATACTCCAGTAATTCGCCCTTCGAGTTCAAACGCCGGATTCTTCTTTCCAGCAACATGGACATCAGAGACTAGCATTATTTCACCCAAATAATCTACCTTGAAATTCACTGGAGGGAAGGATCTTCGCCTCGTGAACTCTTCATACTCGATAAAGAAGACCTGGTTTTTCATGACATGTATAACAGACGAGCCATCTCCAAGAACAGTTACAACGGAGATGGACGCACGTTTGTTCAATCCCAGTTCTGCAATCCTGAAAATAGCCTGAAATTTGATAAAGAAAGGATGTTATTTTAGCCAGTCTTTGCGATCGTCTATTTAATGAATTGAATTTACAATCGATTTGCATTCAGCATCTTCCTGTGTATGGAGCGTTTTCAGTGGACATCAATTCCGCCATATTGGTGTCCTGAAACAATGAAACGGCGGGCATGTTGGTGTCCTAAACCGATCCTGTGGGAGTTGAACTTTTTCTTATTTAAAAGCTCCCTTTCTTTGATAAATGTTCATAGATGCTGGCCACGTGAGTGAAACGGCTCTATAAGATAACATTATTCATCCCAAAGTTTGTTACAATCACGTTTGTAAACAAGTGTCGCAACTTCCTCCCTAAACCCCTCCAAAAAACTAATCTGAAAAAAAAAACCAAGGCTATTCAGCTAGTAAATGTACATAAACAAAAAGAATTACCCCATTCAAATAAATGTTTCTATCTTACATAAAGCAAACCTGTTTCGAGCATAATACAAAGGCATGTTGTTGCAATTGGTCAGTGCATGCGGAAGAAACGTTAAAGGTAGTGGATAAGAGCAAGTATAATGTCTTGTACCCTAGTAGAAAAACTGTACCATTCCTCAATTGGGAGATCGCTTCGTAAAAATATTTTTCGTCGCGTCGCATGTCAGAAAATGACACATTATTCCTTACTACTTACGTCTCCTTGCAGCATCAATTCATCGAATCCAAAATCTGCACCATTTTCCTCTGTAGCATTCCTCTTTATCGTCTTAGGATTCATCTCGTCCAGAAGGAACACCTTAGGCGGGTTTGCATTCTGATTGTCAATGTACAATCGTCTGAATAAACGATCCCCTCTCACTTCCTCCACGTACACAGTTCCAGGTCCACCGTGTTGTACCCCTGATGACACTCCTCCCAAAGCATAAAAACCACCTCTATACTCGTCTTTTATAGTCACGTGAACTGCAATCCGTCCTCCTGAGCCGCTTCCACCGGTAGCAGAATTGAAGGTGTTACCAGTCCCTCCGCGAGCAGATATAGACCCATGGCCACGAAGGTAGCTTGTTGTGATCCAGACACTTCCACCACTTCCACCTCCACCTCCTTAAACATTAATAATGAATGACTGAACATTTGAAAGAAAGCAAAGATGATGTTCCAGGAATGCAAAAACCCCAGACAATTCCAAATTTTTTGAAATCATTCCGGAATAAATATGGGATGGACTGTAGGATTCTGTTAAACTCTTTTCTTAAATTTTTATTTGTCGCGTAACAGCTAAAAAAGAAAGTTTCATCTTTCATTCCCTTCTTTAGAGTCCCATCTCTCGTATGAACATCCAAATTTAAAATACCAACAGTTGGAAACCACTTTTTCTGTTTTCGTAAAGGTGTTAACTTACTTAGTCAGACGACGACCGTTACAGGATAAATCTACTTCACTGACCTGAATTTGTAGGAGCGCTGTCGGCGTCCACATCAATAATACCATCCAATCGTAAGGCATATCCAACCACGACACGAACTCGCCCCCCACCCCTGCTGCCGGCTACACCCCCAGTACCACTTCCGCCTCTAGCACCAGGCAGTACAGGTTCATACACAGATCCCACTTCCTCGCCTCCGCTGACCTGGCCTCCGTCACCCCCAGGGCTCCCGTGTCCCGCTCCGGATCCGCCGAAGACAGAATCCTGCCCTGACCCATCAGTTTCGTTCAGGAATCCTCTCCCTGAGCAATCGAGCCTTGCGTCCGGCTCCAGGTAAAAATCGGTGGCTTCAATTTCAAAGAATTCAGCTTTGAAGTAAGAATTGAATTTGATGTCCTGCATGAAAAAAAGTTTCATGATTAGATCTTAAAAGTTATCACCTTTAGGAAATTCTTCCTGCACGAGTATTTAAACTACCGCTGACGAATTAAAAGTGATAATAATGGCATTAGAAAAACAGCTCATCTTAAAGGAGTTTTGATTTGACCTGGTAGCCATACAGAAAACGTTTTTAAAGGATTACTGTCTTTATTTGCCACCTAGGAATATAATAAGGCCTAAGCATTGCCATAACGGTGTTACTTGACATGTTAAGTCAAAGGCTAGGAGACACTTTTTTTGCGTTTAACCTTTTAAATACTAACGTTCCTTTTTTGTGGTGAACATGTGAAGTTTCCTTTTTTTCATTTCTGAAAAAGGAGACTATTTGGAAGAGACTTGCTACACTTGTACTTGGCACATAGCGGGGCAGGATGTCCAGTTTTTCGAGTCACAGAATTGAAATTCGGATTTCGTACCTTAAAATCCCATTTAGGTCACTGGAAATTTTTTATCTGCTGAGTTGGATTTGCGAGAGTCTCTCTTATTTGACTGCTGTGCACGGGAATAGACTGATTAGTGCTTAAATTTCGTTCTTATATTTCCAATGTTTATTCCTTATTTTGAAGATGATTAGTTGACCAGTTTGCTATTGCTTACCAAAGAGTTCTTAACTGAGAATCGGTCTGAGGCTGATTTAAAAGCTAACGTTTACTTTCTTAATAACCTAGCTTCATACGTACCAAAAGACTGACAATAAAGCGAACTCCCATTGGTGGTGGATAATGTACAACGGTACCACTGCCAAACTCCAGCGTTGAGAAAGTGAATGTACCGTGATCATCAATAAACCTATATTTTCCAGCAGCGATTCCTGCAGTATGAGCATAAAACCCAATCTTTATGGTGCGTTCATAAGCCACATAAAAGTGTTGGACGTTGATCAGGCGACCGTTCCATTCAAGGGCTACGTCACCTCGGCCAACAATATGCACAGACGTTGCCATGATGGCGTTGGAACCTTTGTCTAGTTTGAAATTAGCATGCGTCCTAGTAATTGTGTATACTCCATCTAGGAACTCCGCTTTGAGCGTCTGGTTCGCGTGTACGTGAATCAACCCAGTTCTGTCTCCCTCAACTTTGTGAACTGTCAAGTTCAAACGCCTGCCATCTGGTGCCAGGTGAAGAGCAGCCTTTTGAACAAGATGAACTTCGTCAAAAGTGTATGAAGTCAGACTTCCATTGAGGGTGACATAATGATCCCAGGTTCTCCCTTTGTTATCCAACCGAAGCTGTGTGTGCGAGTACTGATTTCGCGTATCTTTAAGATACACTGTGCCAGGTCCCCCTGCGTACAGAGTCAAGTCCTTGGACTTATCACCAGCTTCCCCTCCAACAGCAGTGTACTGACCCAGATACTTATTCTCTGTTGGTGTGTGAATGGCGATGCGACCTCCAGATCCACCACCCGAATTCAAACCATCCCCTGCACCGCCATTAGCAGTGATTGATCCGTGACCGCTGAAACGCCCGCATTTAATCCAGATGCTTCCTCCACTGCCACCTCCAGCATTCGCTCCGCTGTTTGCGTCCTGACCATTACAGTCTATAGTGCCATCCACGTAGAGGTTGTCGCCGATGTCCATGTAGATCAGCCCACCACCTTTGCCGCCATCACTGCTACCACGGCATCCGGGAGTACCATACATTTTAGGTGTGAAAAGACTCCCACCAGAGAGAAGCTCGTTAACGCCAGTATGGCCTACAAAACAGAATGATTATTTTCTCACCACAATATTTATTTTTAGTATATACTAAAACAGTGTGGATAGTACTTTTCACGCACTCTGATTGGCAACTCAAACTCGGGATATCCAGTGCTATTCACTGATTCACCTCCAGCCCCTCCGAGGGAGCGGCGCCGAACTCTCGTACTTACGAGCAAAATGGCTTCCCGGTGTGCTGTCATAACAAACAAAGAAATTTCACAAATAATCAAACAAGCTGTTCCCGAAATGCACGAAAAAGGTGATGAAAGTCGATTTGGAAGTTTTAACAAGTAGAGCTTTGTCTGTTTGACTTGTAATAATTATTAGTAATAATTATTTGTAATAATTATTAGTATACTCCAACAAAAATCTTGGGAAAAAGCCTCTTAATATTCAACATTTGTAAACTTCCGTAATATTGATTAGTTTAATTTTTCACCTGATATTATATTGTATCCGTCGCCGTAATTTTTATGCCATCTTGGAAAAATTGTAATCGAGGAGGCCTAATTAACATAAGCTCTATAGTTTCGTTTAGGCCTCCTCGCCATCTCTTCCAACATTTTTTTTTTTAGCATCTTTTTGTAATTATTGTAATCGTGTGGCAAATAAATAAAATACCTAAAAAAAATACCTAATTTATCGATGAAACCAGAGAAAACGTTTTTTGCTTACAAATGCAAAATAAGTCTTGCATTACGTTATTTAACTGACATGTTCATAAATAAGCTTAAAACTAAATTCAATAGTTTTCTTTTTTTATAGAATGGTTTCAAATACAAAAAGAATTCACAACTCGTTTTGAAGAAATTTCCCCGCAAGAGCTAAACAAATGCCTTCAAAAGTTTTATTTGTCGGCAAAGAAAACGCGACGGCCGTTCAGTCATTTGCGCGCCAAAATTGTAATCGTTGGCAACAGTAAATGAGTTAAAAATCATCATTTTTGTGCTCAATTATCTCACTGTCTTAGTATATACTAAAGCAATTATTCACCTCAGTGTCAGTGGCTAGTGGAGGTACGGAGCACTACTGAAGTACACCAAAGTAGGCGACTAGTTATTGTTTCTTGTTCTTTTTTGCGGGTGCAACAGTTAGGTGGGAAGAGTTTCGTACTTTTATCCACCTTACCTTTCCCTCCTTTACTGCCATAACTTCCCCCGGAACCCCTGCACGAACTCGGCAGACCATTAGGGTCATAAGGACTGGGCCGATCTGTCCCAGAGGCGGTGATTCTACTTCCGGTTTCAAGTAGAAGAGATGTGATGCTGACACGGTACGTATCTGCGACAATGACGGAGCCGTATTTCATGTGGAGGAGACCAACTTCACACTGCATTCCTCGGTAGTCAGGGAAATATACCTGGGAGCCATCTTGAATTTCAAACGTGGCTAAAACAAACGTTCCTGGAGCAGCAACATTGAGTGTTCCATTATAGAAATCGGCCGAATGGGCGTGTGACTGGAATCTCGACTTTAATCGTTTGGTGATGAATAAGTGTGTGACATCTATCATTCTTCCATCAAGCGTAAACGAAGATTCTCCCGAAATTTGATCAGTTCCCTTCGCACCGTCACCAATAACGTACAGTGATGCACCAAACACCATCTCAGCGTTATTGTCAACTCTTAGGTTTACTGCAGGTTTGGAAACGCTGTGTTCGGTGCTGGAAACCTCCAGATAGATTCTCTGATTAGCACGTGAATGAAGAAGTCCTGTGCGATCACCAATCAAGCTCGCCATGTTTAGAACCGTTCTCTCCTGTCGCACAGCCATGTTAAGCGCTGCTCTTCGGAACAAATGGACTTCTGAAAAACTATGCGAAGTGATATTTGTTTCATCGATTGTTACTGGATCGTTAACTGATCGCATTAGGTTGTCAATTCTGTAAAAGAGAAAATAACCTGTTAGCAACGACTTTAGCGTCACAAAAGCTCTTCGCCTAAAAGCAGTTTTCTCTTCCACTTAACAAAAGGCGACCAAGAAATAAACGCTAGTTTCCAACTAAGGATTTTTTTTTAGTTATAATATTTCTTCAACAGCTGACATGCGATAGAACCAAGTGCCATGGGACTTGCATTTTTTTACAACGGATATACGTAACGTCAGGACCCTATTCCGTGATGAAATCACTATAACTTTGTGTTATTTTATCCTACGTTGAAGACTAGCCAAATTCAGGAAGATGTGATGGTATTACGGTCAGTGCACAGAACAGTAATTTTCGGTTCAAATTCCTGACCAAGAGCTAAGCGTGAAAAGTTAAGTGATCAGTTTTCTGTTTACTTGCTTTTGCTGACCTCACATGTTCACTTTTCACATTTCCCCGCAATGATATCTTCATTAGCACTTCCGGGTTAAAAGGATAACGATAAATTTTTTGTACAAAAAGAATTTAATCAGTTCTGACTCAAACCAACCTAAGCTGTGTGAACGGCCTCTGTGACCGAACGTCCCTCAAAAACACAGTGCCTGGTCCTCCGTGTGCACCTGAAACAGAGCTTCCGCCAAAGGACACATAGGTACCTCTGTAGGTATTTACGTTTGAATAAATTGCTATTCGCCCTCCTGAGCCTCCTCCAGCGTTGGATCCACCCCCGTTACCACCATTGGTGTTAAGCTCTCCATATCCTTAAAAAGTCGAACAAGAGTTGGTTGGCTGTAGTAATTACTCAACTGCCAAAAAAGTGCCAGCGAAGAAATGGATTTACATCATTACAGACCAATATCTGTTTTATCATGTCGACGTCTCTTTATAATTATAATGTTATAACAACTTAAATCGACAACACTTTTGTTTCTTCCACATCAATAACTATAGATGGCGTGCTAATCTATATTGTGGAAATAACAAAAGGTCACATTTCTCACAAAATCGCGCGCGCGAAAAAAGAAATATAAGTACTGCAATTTTCAATGTCTAGTTTCACACAGACAATAGCGTTCGGAGAATGAGTTTGCGAATTTTAACATTTATAGCAAAATAATGCTTAGTTAAAGCGCATGTTTAGGTAAAAGCCTTCGTCCAAAATCCTGTTAAAGAGAAGAATGCCAATCATTAGTCAATGAATTAAGGTAACATTACAATGCAAAAGTTGTAAAAAAAGTTGTTAAAAAGATTTTTAACATTATACCTGTAAATCTGTCTGTGTTGAGTAGCAGACTTCCTCCACTTCCACCTCCGGCGCCGCTACCATTTACAGCACTTCCACCTTCGGCCGTAATGGAACCATCATTGGTAATTAACGTTCCTGCCACGATTTTAACACAGCCACCTCCACTTCCACCAATTTCGTGACTGTGTGGTCCACTTCCACCCCTGCGGCCGGATTCTTTGGGTTGGTAGAGAGAGCCATAGTAAGAACCCCCGACAGCTCCCTGGTAACCTGCCCCACCGTTACTAGAATGTCCCGCTCCTGAACCTTGAGGAAGAGAAGATACTTCGCTAGATGGAACAGCCCTGCGCGCTTTATTACTACCAGCAGCACTCAAAAGTCCTCCTGTTTCTACATCGAGGCTCGAAGTGACAATGTTTAAATGATGGGCTTCCAAAGCCGCGTGGAATTTCACATTCAAAAATCCAACAATCATCTTCATCTCGATTTCATCCTCCATCGTTACCGAACTACCACTGAATAATCTAGCGTTTGAAAACATGAACGTTCCCGGTGGCTCATTGTCCCGTAATGTTCTTGATCCTTTCTGAAATTTGACGACCCGTCTTTGAGTGACGTACAGGTTACGGATTCCATTCAACGTTCCGTTACAATTTAAAGCTACTGCACCGTCACCAACTATATAAACAGTTGTTGCCATGACAGCTTCAGCTCCACTATCAATTCTAAAATTTACAGGAGTCTTAGTCGTTGTCAATTGGGCCTCTACGACTTCTATGATCGCTTTATGGTTTCGGTAAAGATGTAACAGACCAGAGCGATCACCGTAAATTTTCGCAATACTCAAGTTTGAAACACGTTGTGAGTTAGAATCTGGAAGAATCCGTAAGGATGCCTTGCGAACCAAGTGAAGTTCATCGAAACGATATGATGTCTTGTTCTCATTCAGTGTAACATACTGTTCCCAGCGTTGTCCTTGGTTGTCAATGTGTAACTGATTGAAGGGGAGCTTTAAACGGACGTCCTGTATGTACACTGTTCCAGGTCCACCGGAAGCAACACTGCTGGTTGAAATTCCACCTAGGGCTTGCAAAGCTCCACGATAAGCGTACTGAGTTTTAAGATGAATCCCAATTCGCCCGCCGGCACCGCCCCCTCCAGCACCATCACCCTTTCCTCCATTAGCAGACACTGTACCTGTTCCAGATAAGGTAGTTTCTATAGAGATGAACACACTTCCACCACTTCCTCCTCCCGCGAGAGACCCTTGGGATGCATGTCCACCGTTTGCTGAGATAAATCCGTCGTTTTCAAGGGTGTCCGTGTCAATACGAATTACTCCGCCACCTTTGCCTGCTGTCCCTACCAAGCTGCCATTCCCACCAGGCCTACCTGGTTTATCTGGTTTGTAAAGTGTGCCATATGGATTACCTCCGATCAACCCATTATATCCCTCTCCGCCAGCACTTGCATGCCCACCGCCAGAACCGCCGTTAACTGATGTTCGCCCCTCGACCCCGTCATTTTCTTGTGAATTAATGCTGTTGTTTGTCGTTAGAGTCGCACCACGTCCAACGATCAGCGTTTTCGATTTGATATCAACAAAATTTCCACGAAGAACGACTCCACTCTTCATATCCAATTTTCCTACGATTATTTTCAAATTTAAGGGAGCGCCAAAGTCGGAGCCACTTTTCAAAGTCACACTCGCGAACTGTTGCGTCCCTGGATCACTCTGAAAAACAAACCGTTTGTTTTCCATTAGCGTTGTCTGCGAGGTACTTCCAAATTTCACAGCGCTTCCTGACTCGACGACAAGATGCCTAACATTTGATAGTTTGCCATCCAGTGTTAGCTTGGCGCCGTCTACAGTGAGATTTGAAGCCATAACTAGGTTGGCACCCCTCTCCACATAAATGTTAGTTGTTAAGGTCAAGTGACTTTCTTTTGCTTCCAGAACCGCTGCTAACATGGTTTGATTTTCCCTGATGGCAATTTCTCCAGTGCCATCAGAAACGAAGTTCGTCACTTGGATTGTTTGCAAAAGTCGACGTAAATTGTAAATCTCGAATCGAGACCTGCCTTTTAGTTGTAGTTCATCAAAACAGTAATCAACAATTTCAGCTTCATAAAGTACTGTTTGTGGTTTATTAGGGGCCGACACGAGGTTCTTAATAAACAGACGCCTTCGTGGGACAAACTTTTCGTTATCTTGAATGTAAAGAGTCCCTGCAGCACCTGCCTGTTGTCCACTACCTCCTTCTGCATTCAAGGTACCCTCAAAACTCATGGGTTTCTGCAAGTAGATGCCAATTCTTCCACCACTACCCCCACCTCCATTTAGTTTTCCACTGCCACCTCTTGATGCAATAAAACCATTTCCAAGAATGTCATCTGCCGAGATCCAGATGCTTCCACCACTACCGCCTCCACTGTTAGTCGCCTCTCCACTCGTTCCGCTCACCGTTATTGTTCCTTCGAGGAATAGTCTTCTAACAATTGTCAGACGAAGATAGCCACCTCCTTTTCCTCCGGCTCCGTAATTAGAGGTACCCCCACCACTGCCAGTGCCATTTGGATTAAAGGCTGATCCGTACCACGCCCCTAAATTCCCCGTTGTAAGTCCACCATAACCACCGTGTCCAGCACCAGTTCCAGAAGACTGATATCGTCCTCCTGCTCCTGGCCCACTCTCGCTGTCATGTCCTTGTGCAGACAGATCCAGTACAGCTCCGTCGTGTATAACAACATCAGAAGCCTTCATATGTAGCCAGCTGGCTTGTAATGTAGCTCCAAAGTTTAATTCAAGCCTACCGACTGTAAGAGGAACTCTTGACAATCTGGCATTATCAAACGTCAGAAAAGCATCACTCTTTAATCTGAGTGAGGAAAACCTGTATTCTCCTCGGTTTGTTATGAATGTGTACTCCCCATCAATAAGTCGAGCCGTCCGCGCTGAAGATGAAAAAGTCACTTTTCTATTCTCTCCAATTATCATGTCTAGGATACCGGTCAACGTTCCTTTAAAAATATTATTATTTCCCAGAAACATCACCTCGTCTGGAATTCGAATCTCTCCATCAGGGTCCACGTGAAAGCTGCAATAAGGTTGCAAATACCGAGACCCTGGCTCAGCAGTGAATACAACATTATCTTTCACATAGATGACACTGTTAGAGTCAGTTATTAACTTTCCGACCTGCATGTTCTTTTCCAGATGAAGCGTTACTTTTCCATATAAACGAAGTTCTGTAAAATCATACAAAGCCACTAACGATTGGTTTAGAAGAACTGGAACAGAGAAGTTAGACATTATGCCGGTATTATCGACATAAAGTTTTTTAGTGCGGAGTGCCGTTTTCCCAACCTCGATGTATACAGTTCCTGGTGATCCACTTTTATCTTGAGAATTACCACCTCGTGCCCTGAAAGTGCCACTAAACTCGTCATCGCCTGTAATAAATAAAGAGATGCGACCACCCCCGCCCGCACCTGTCACGCTACCGATTCCATTGCCTCCTTTAGTTTCAATTTGTCCGCGGCCACTGAACTTTCCAGTGATGGCAATGTCTACACTTCCTCCACTACCACCACCAGTACTTGTGCTGTCCGCATCCTGACCGTTCGACGATATCAATCCATCAACAACCAAATCTGATGCCTGTACATGTATGATGCCCCCTCCCGTACCATGACCACTACGGGGTTGTGATGTACCACCTCCACTACCGAACTCTGCTGCTTGAAATACGGAACCATAGACAATACAGCTTTGGATAGTATTACCACCACCACAGCCTCCATAACCACCACCCGTCAGCGACGAGGAACTTCCGGCACCAACCCCAACTCCAGCCGGATTGCCTAACCCGTCTGCTCTTAGAGTGCCGTTAAAGGCAACATTAAGTGTTGGTGTTTTCACTTTTAGGTACCTTCCTTCTAAAGTTCCGCCAAACCCTACATCGATTAACACCGAGTGGAGTTCTACAGGCACTTTTGCAACGTTATCTACTTCAAATTTTATCCACCCTCCACTTGAAACTTTTAGAGACCGAAAAGAGTAAACGCCAGGTGTAAAGGCGAATGTTCCAATAGTTCCAGTTTTTGCAATAACAACGGAGGCACTTTGGCCCACATTAACTTCTTGTCCACCAGTAAGCTTTCCAGCTAAGTAAAGGGAAGGCGTAATTACCGTTCTTGTTATAAAAAGGACTGGTGCAAGATTCAGCGTCGCTCCCTCATCAACCACCATCGCCCAGGGGAAAACAAATGGCCGTGTAGTAACAGCTTTACCAGCACCTAGAGTAAGCGTCTGGTTACGTTGTACGTGAACACTTCCACTACCATCGCCTTCAAGGTTTTGAATCGCTATCTTCATTTCTGCATTCGTAACCTTTGCCACTTTAAGACGAGCTCCATTAAGTAGTTTAAGGAGCTGCATTGTATACGAAACTTTCTTTTCGTGCATGACAATTGTGTTCGCGTCAGTTTTCCTGTTTCCGTTGTCTACGATCGTAGAATTAAGGGGCAGTCCAATGACATATTCTCGGATGAATATTGTCCCAGCTGCTCCACACGCAGACCCGCACCCTCCAAAAGTAGTGAGAGTTCCTTTGAATGGAGACTTATCTGTTACATACAGCGCAATGCGACCGCCGGACCCACCTGATGCAGCACCAAGTCCCTTGCCTCCATTAGATACAATCTCACCATGACCATGCAAAGTCCCTGACCGCAAAAACACACTACCTCCACTGCCACCACCACTCCAATTATCTGCACCGTTAGCACTAATTGTTCCATATAAATTCATCTTTTCTGTGACGTCAATAAAAATAATTCCACCACCACGAGCGCTGTTACCACTGCCATAATGTAGTGGTTCAAATACTGATCCGTACGAGGCTCCTCCCTGGGATCCCCCACCTTCTCCTCCATGGCCACCTCCGCTGCCAAGATTTTGAGCTGCACCTGGACCGCCAAGGAAACCACCAAAATCAGATGTTACTTTAGCTTGGTGATCTAAGATAATATTAGTAGCAGTGATATTAAGAAACTTCATACTTGCTGCAGTCGTTATTCTAGCTCCCTTGCTTAGATGTATTGAATCCGCCTTTAGTGTGACATTGTCTTGGGAAAAAGTAAGTCGTGCATTTGTGTGCAGCCTTAAAGAGGTAAGATGAAACTGCAGCTGTGCTAAACGTTTTGTGACCATACCATGAGCATTCACCTGCAGTAAAGAATTCTTTAGAAGCTCTAAGCTGGGTGTTCTCAGTTGTCCTGATGAAGCCACGTTAAAAACCTTGCCAATGCCAAGTATAGGTGCCACTACATCCAAAACCCCAGCAACGACGACCGTAGGCGAGCTTGGACCCACAAAAACAGGTTGACTATGAATATACAAGAAACCGCCTGCTTGTACTTCAAGATCACATGAAAATTGTTTGGTTGACGATGGAAAGTTATGGATATCAATTCTACTGCCATTCGAGACTGTAAGCTTCCCAGTTCCATCTGTAGAAAAACTCTTGATCGTCATTGACTGAGCTGTTGATAGAAAAGTTCCGTTCTTTTCTAAACGCATTTCATCGTACGTGTGGGACGGAAAAAGGCCTGGCAGACGAGCTGGAGGGTATCCGCTCCCTTTGTTCCAGAAAATGAGCGTTTTATAAAAAGTGTCCTTTCTTTGATCCAGAATAAGAATTGTTCCCGAAGCTCCGGCTTTATGCCCTTTACCACCAGTAGCGTCGTACACACCAGTAAAAGCGCTTTGACCTTGAAGAACAGTTACACCAATTCTACCCCCACCTCCTCCTCCTGCTGGAAAACTGGCATCTCCGCCACGAGCCCTGAAGACGCCAGATCCTGTCAGGAAACCGGTTATTACTTGGATGCTTCCCCCGCTGCCACCGCCGTTTCCTGAGGATCCTGCTCCTCCACTGGCTTCAATGAGTCCGTCGTTGATCAAGTCCCCAGTGTTGAGGATAACAACACCACCGCCCTCTCCCTGGTCTTGACTGCTACCACCACCAATAGACCCATAGTCAGTTGGGTATGAAATATTACCGTAAAGGGACTGGTTGTTAGAATCGCCTCCGCCAAGTCCTCCATAGCTTCCACCGTTTTTAGAAGACGCTGGAATTGGATTAGCAAAGGTCGACATCTTTGCGACAATCGATCCACCAGAATAAACGGTCAGCGTAGAGACATTTAACGTGCTTGCACTATTCCTGTTTGTTCCTGCTTCAATATACATCGTTGCGTCTCCTTGTATTTCCAAAGAATTGTACTTGTAGTTTCCTAGCGCCAAGCTGCACCATTGGCCTGGAAAAAGTTTGAAGTTATCGTAATCACAAGCGATGAAGTAAGTGACGTTATAATGTGTCTCGTTTATGATGACATATGCGGTTTCATTTGCAGATATAGCAACAGAGACGTTATTGAAAACCAAGTATGACTCGTTTCTTTTCTTGTAAATATGTTTACCTACACCACAGGGGTTATACAAGGTTTTGGACGCTAATGCAACGACTTCATATCCATGGGGGCAGTCTTGTCTGTTAAGAGAGGGTCCACTAGTGTGATCGACCCGTTTCTGGACTGTAAGGGGTATATCAGATCCAAGTTTTGCGCCATGGTCCAGCTGTAACAAAGAGCTAACCAGTTTAACCTTATTTGGCGAGGATGATGTAACGCTGCCACCATCTTTTATCCGTAAGGATGTAAGCTGTATTGCTGATACTCCCTGATTGGGAGTTTGCCTAAAACCAGTGTGTCCAGGATATTTGAGGAGAAGTCGTCCTTTGTTGGCTATGGTCAGATCGGATATTCCAACAAGGCTACCAGTAAGAGTAACCTGGGTGTCACTACTAATAAGGAAACTACGTGGCACGGAAAGCGTACCCCCATCTTTTATTTCAGTGTTAAATTCAAGTTCCATGGATGGTAAAACATCACCCGTTACGCCGGCATAAACATCGTGATTTGCTTTAATTACAAGCCAAGCTGTTTTGTCACCAGAGATTTTTCTGGTTATCAGCGTCATGGGTCCTCCTGGAGAGCAAGATACCATAGATAACGTGCTAGATTTTAGTAGCGTAATCTTGTCAAAAGTGTAATCGATCTGCTGTGGATCACAAACAAGTAGGCTTGGCGACTCGAACGCTAACACACCACCTCCCTGCAAGATCAGTTCTGACTGCTCTGCTTGTGTCTGAGTCGTCTTCGAGTAAAGAAACCCGGAGGCTCCTACCTTCTTTCCGCTGCCCCCATGAAGTGTGTAGGAAAAATGAAATGGTGATGTCTTGCAGTAAACTGCAGTTATACCTCCGCTTCCACCCCCACCCGTTGACGCTCCACCATCACCGCCACGAACATCGAACAATCCCGTGCCCTTGATGAAGCTGGCATTTATGAGCAGACTGCCTCCTGCTCCACCACCACTTTCAGAGGCTTTAGAATTCTCTCCTCTGCCAAAGATGAAAATAAATGTAACGTTATTTCAAACTCAGAGTACACAGGACTAACTTTCGGCTAGGTTACACCAGACTGCTATAACTAAGGCCCGGTGCATATAACCCTAAAGCGTCTAAATTCCCCTTATTTGTCTAGAATCGAATATTTGGGCAAATACTTTGCCCAAATATGGAAGCAGAGAACTGATCACCCCTGTTTAAAAAGGGGCTAATGACAGATTCTTGCAGCCCTTAATTATCTAAGTACATCCGTAGGTCAGTAGTACACGCTAAGCCGTTTACATTTTGTTATATAACATAATCAACCAACGAGAACATTTATATGAAGGTAGTGGAACCCAAGAGGGTGTTACCATTTACGCGAGATAAGCTTCGCTATGACGTGTACGAATAATTTTCTCTGCAACAAATATTTCCGTTAACAAAATCTTCTTGCTCGATTTCTAGATTTCCGTCTCAGTGTACATTGCAAAACATTTTGCATGTTATTCTGATCAGCCTTTGTACATTGCTGTTAATATTACATATCTGGTTGGTGTCCGCAATGACGCCATTTAGCGACAACTTTTGTCCATTGTTTTTGCGGCCGTTTTGGCGATCAAGAAATGCTTTCTGCTTGATGAACTTCGGCGGCAGAGGCTCTTTACAGACAACACTGAAGTGATTTCAACCATCAGCCTCAACATACGAGCAGAAATCAACAATTGTATCGCCTCTCATTTCGCAGACGAGCCTGCCTCTCACTGCTATGTGTATAGGAAGTTCGTTTCAGTTCGGCCTTTTACCGTGAAAGCCTTGCTGATTTCCCAACAAATTTTTCATAGATGTTGCATTAAGCTAACGGACAATTTACTGGTTATAACCACGTACTCGGCTGTTGAACCTGAGTTCAGCTCTCATGCAAACGTGCCGTGTTTTGTTGTTGTTGTTTTCATCCCGCGAACGAAATAATACTAAATGTGCTTTGCAATATACATATGAAAATAAAACAGGTAGATGAAATAAAGAATAGAAATAAGAAGAAGTAGGGTTCTTCACGACAGGAAATTTGCGGCTGGTCAGCCATCCAGTTCCTAACCTCGCCCGTCGCGGCGTAACTTCAGTGACTTCAGTGGAGCTATTAACACCAAGTTTCTAGAGGGTTTGCGAGACAAGTATCTATTTGAAAGAGTAAAGGTGGATATAAACCAACAAATGAATGGACGCCTTTCTGAAGTCATCAAGTGGACGGTTTAAGTTTCCAAACTTGATATCATACCAGACAGATTGAGGTAAAATTTAGTGTTCGACCGAAATGAAGGCGCGACAAAGCAAAAACCTAGCTTGACTAATTGATATTAGAGTGGAAAAAGTTCGAGCGTTACCTGGATGAGATCTCCCCATAAATTTGTAGCGTTCCACTAACGGTTAAATTCAGGACTCCTCCTCCATTACCACTTGCACAGCTTGAGTCAGACCGCCCGGCATACCCAGCTTTTCCGAAAGAAGTTGGAAGAAATACTGAATCAAATGGGTCTTTTCGCCAGCCGCCGAATCCGAGTCCTCCGTAACCTGAATGACATGTTTCAAATAAGCATTTAGAGAAACAAGTCACCAAAAACGACAGTAAGTGACGTTAGAGTCTAGCAATATGCGCATCATTTTTTTTCATTATATTCAGGTGATTGGAAATGTAAAGTTCTTGCGAGGCCATTTAACTATGGAACAACAAGCCAATCTCCTTGAATGCATCGCTTTTATTCTCAACTTCGGTTTCAAATTATATCAGACGTCCAGGATTATTCGTGGTTTACTCAGAACGAAATGCTAATCAATGATCTTGTTGCAAAGTTAATCAATTATATTTCCCGGATACTTTATTAATTACGATGCCATAGTTTGGCCTTTCATAAAATGTTTAAGTCCCCTCCACGACTTATGAACTTAAAGAGATAGTTTTAAATGATTCACCTGCATGACTGCCTCCCGAGCCAGCCAGATAAATATCCGTGCTCGGGCATCTTTCACCTTGGGCATCCAAGGTTATTTTTCCTGACTCCTCCACCGTGACAGACTTGGCAAATACAGTTAGATTTCGTCCTATCAGCTTTCCACCAGAGTTAACAACCAGAGAATCAACGTTTAATGTGTATTTTGCTTCAACGGCAGCCATCTCTAAAGAGCCCTCACTCATAAGTGTTATTCTCTGGAACGTGAATTGCATTTCTTCTAAAGCACCCGTACGTAATGCTCCCGAGGCGGCTCCAAATGTCACTGTGCACTGTGAAATTGTCAGGTCTGTAACCCCAATGAGATATCCAGTATTTAGAGAAAGGGAGTTTTTATGAAGCATTACCCTGCTAGGCAGCTTGATGTTGCCTTGCGGGTAGATCTTTAAGTTAACTGGAATGTAGTAGTCCGTATTCGGTATTGTCAGGACCTGACGAGGTCCGACATGTACATAACCAAAATTGTTTCCTTCAAAGGTACCGTAGAAGCTTCTAAATGTGTGCAGTAGGGTATTTCTTTCAGGCTGAATCGCAAGGTGAGCTGACCCGCCTAACTTGACCTCATCAATTGTGAGTCCTTCGTAAACGGCTGCGCCGAGATTTATATCATTTATGGCCACTGGGACAAGCAAGTCGGTAATTAAAGATATCCAAGTCCGTGCACTATCACTACTCAAGTCCGAATAATCAGCTATCTCCTCTTCAGAAGGCTTTTTGCCTTGATTGTAGACCTCAAGAACACTAAATCCCTTCTGCACATTTTTCTTGTAAATTGTTCCAGCTGCTCCAGCCTCCACAGTCGAGTTTCCTCCGTAAGCAGAGACGCTCCCAGAGAAGAATGATGAGTTATAATGCAGAGCTACCCTTCCACCGCTACCTCCACCTCCACCATGGACTCCTCCAGCTCCTCCGTTTACTTGGATGACACCAGATCCATCGAAACTGTCGGCTAGAATAAAAACGCTTCCACCACTGCCTCCTCCGTTTCCAGAATTCTTCACCGAATCTTTTCCATTCACCATAATCTGACCATCGTGGATCATCTCTCGAGCTATAATCTTCAAAATACCACCTCCGGTTGCCACGTAGTCGCCAGTCCCTCCACCACCCGAGCTGCCAAATTCTTGGGGCATTGTGAAGTCTCCATAGAAAGCACCGCTGCGAGTTTGTGACTTACCCCTCCCTCCCCTCCCACCATGGCCGCCTCCTGAAGATCCACCATAGTGCGGATATCCAGATCCTAGACCAGCCCCAGCTACAACAGCCTAGACAGCGAAAGAAAACAATAATAATTATTGTAATACGACAGCGTGGAGTTCAATTCGGCCTCTGCTGATCGTTTGAGTTAACCACACGTACGACTACCCAGAACTGGAAGACAAGAAGTTCTATTACCAATTTTACTAATCATAAGAAGAAAAATATCTGAAAGAATGTCAGTGATTATACACAAATCTCTTTAGGATTTCCTGCTGAGACGTAACAAAAAAAACATACAACGTGAACTGTTCAGGTAAAGTGCCCTATGACGCATACTGTCCAATAAGACTGTCTTGTGCTAAAATCCGAGGGCTGCTACAAGAGAACCATATTTAGTGGTGATTAAACATCGTGAAACCTCTTGTATGGACAAAAGGAGCAGCGTTAAAAAGCGTGGTGAAGAGCTGTATTTATATTGAAATGTTTGCTTCATTCCGTTTTTTCTTAAAGTTTTTCCAGAAGAAGGTAAAACCACCTAACCAGACAAACTTCAAGTACAGATATCGATAAGGGAAACGGGAAGGGTGCACTTAAGGCGCCGAGACTAAATATCTTTCCTTTTTTCTCCCAAATGGCTACATGGTAAATCATAACACCAACTCACTTTGTAGTTGAGGTCAATTACTCCCGACTGTTCAATTGTTACTGACTGACAGGAAACGGATAGACGATCGGCGATTAAAATTGCACCACTGCGTATCCACAAGCGTCTGCAAGTTATTGAAAGTCCTTTTTTATCGCTTTGTATCTCCATTCGACCACCTCCCTGAATCTCGATCACATCGAATTTCAAGTCTCTGAAGGTTTGATTATTTGTAGCAATGAGTTGCCTGAAAAGTGAATTAATACGAGTAAATTTACTACTTGTAGTGGTTCCTCGGAGAGATAAAGTTAAATGAGAACAGAAATACACGTTTGAAAATGGAATTAGCATACCCTGAAAAACCTCCAAAAGGCTAGGCTCTTTCTAAGACTTAAATAGTGGTGATAGTGTTACGTGAATAAGCTGAAAATGTAGGCTAAATATGATCGTATTTCATGTAGGCTACAATGTAGTTACCGGACAATAACAGAAATAGGTATATTTCGACATTTTTACCTCAGGATGAGCTTTCCTTTATTTCCCACTGTCACATTTTGAGCACCGCTTAAACTTCCAGCAACGATCATTGTTATACCGTTGATAACCAATTTATTTGGCAATGTAAGATCACCTCTAGGGTAAACATTCACTCCCCAGAGTAAGTCTGGCTGTTGTTCTCGGCCGTCAGGTAATGACATCTTTAACTCCTGATTGGCTTGGACATGCAGTATTCCAGAACGGTCACCACGAATGCCCCCAACATTCCATCGAAGAGGCGATTCGGCTGGGCTAGTGAGCAAGGCAAGCTGCGACTGTCCTCGAATATCAACTTCGTCAAAAGTCATTGCTATTGTGTTGGGTTCCGGGGTCAGCCAAGTTCGCCCTCCGTCGTAGTTGACGTTTCTAATGTCAT